GCTCCTTTGTCCCGACTAGGTCTACACACACACTGGACTATTGTTTGTCCCAATACAACCCGAGGTACCCACAACTTGTGTGCCCAGTCACCCTCGGACACACTAGGCTCCTCTGAAGTAGAAGATGTGGCCATACCTCTCATATAAGTCCCGGGCGGTAATCGTCATCCACCCAAAAAGCCTGTAATCCCATTCTGATGGGATTCAATACACATCGATGTACCGCCATATGGCAGCACTATGCTAGTCGCCCTAGTGGCGGATGCAATCCTTGGGTGCCTCCAAAGCGAAGCAAGCCAACGCCCCACCCGCGCGAAGGTTGTGGTGATCAAAGGCGCCGGGGGGCAGAACGGGCGAGGAGGCCAGGAAGTCCCGAAACCATGATGAAAGCGTGTGGGAGGATGGGTCGCGTTCCCCCAGGAGAGTGTAGAAATGTGAGGGCGCCCCGCCCGCGTTCGCCCAGGCGCGATCCCGAAGAGCGCCCCAATGGAGGAGAAGATCCACAACTTCGGGAGCGCCCCGGGCCGGCCAGGAGTGGAGGTAGATGGACGGGTCCAGTTTGAGCTTCAGTTTGGTGCGACGCTCCCGGAAGACGACAATGCTATCCGCCACCCACACATCGTCTAGCATAATGAAATGGCCACTTTGGGCCCGGTTGAAAAAAATAAAGTCCAATAGGGCAGGGACAGTCGCCCGCAACCAAACCAGGTCCTCTGTCCATAGGCCTAGCTCCAGAATGCAGAGCATCAATGTCGCTGGCACCGGATCATGCGAGGAAGTTGGCTCCGGGCATTGGCGACGCCAAGGCCGGGTGAGCAAATGGGTCACCCGGTCGAACGCCAAGAAGTGGAGATGGCCCACCACCTGGTGGATTATTGAGATTGCAGCTAGATACTAAGGGAGGCTGCGGACGCCCACCCAGCCCTCCTCCCGCAAGAAACGAATGTAGTGGTAGATGGTGGATGGTCGGGTGGGAATCGCCTGGAGTTCCATGGAGGCGCAAAAGTGTTGGAACTTGACGAACTTGGTTTGCATCGAATGACGCGTTGATTCCGTGTAGAAAGATAAAAACTCGGAATACCTCCATGCGCAGTCCGGCTACAGAAGGCCATCCACATCCAACCCGTAGAGGGGATGGTGTGTCAGCATGGGCTCATGCACTGGCAACGGGTTATCCGGGGGCATGGCCGCCTCCCCGGAAGGGGACCCGGCACCCGCGCTCAAGGCTGAAGCTGGGGACAGATGTGGAATGCCCAAATTCCACTTCGGGGGAGGAAGCACGTCCGGAAGGCTCGGATCCCCACAGTGAAACATCCCCGGATGGCGGGGAATCAGACACTCCTCTACCGCAAGATTCCGGAGTGGGGGGAACCAAAGCGAGCTCGGCCAATCCGGCACGACGACAATGGCCTCCACGGCGGGCCGGGCGGCAAGGAAGGAGACGAGCCAGGGAAGGAGGCACCACGGGGGATTGCACCAATTGGTGTCCCCCGTCCAGTCCTGAAGAAAGGCATCCGTCCCCGTGCTCCCCACTTCCGCGCGCAGGCTGTTGTACCTTGGACAAAGGGTATTCGCCACGGAAGCAAAGCGGTTGCATGTCCGGCGACCGAAATGCCACATTAGCTGGCGGAAGATGGCCGGATGCAGCTGGCAGTTGGAGTGGAGAACGGCATAAAGGCTCTGTAAGAAAAAGCACGCCAATGGGAAGGCCAAATGTAAAGAAATGGCCAGGCCACAAAACCGGGCCCAACCCCAGGCGACCACATAGCGACAAGAATGCAAAGCTTTGGCCTGATTGGCCACCAATATTGCCTTCTCAGGAGGGACCTCGAATCAACAATGCTCAATGTCTACAATCACCCCCAAATGCTTCTTCCGGAGAACGGGAGTCTATTGACATTTGCGTTCCTTGAATTGGATACCCAGCGAGGCAAAAATACCCTCACAACCCGGACCAATGAGTCAAATGGGCGGCATCATGCATTGCCGCCAAAAAATCATCCAAATAAGCCAGCAGAATGGCTGGCGGTTCCTTGGTATAAAGTCGAAAGTAATTAACTATTGAGTCATCCCCTGCTAAGCGACCAAAGCGGAAATTATTCGCGGCGTTGGTGCAGCTGCCCGGGGACCTCAAGAAACGACCCACTACAAGCATGAATTGAGTGAAAAAGAAAAGGGCCAAGGATAGACCAAACGGAAGGGCCCAACAAGCAAAAACCTTGTCTCCTATACAAAATTGGAGGAAGCATTCCTCTGACTGACGCACGCACAAGTGATGGTAGGCATCCTTGATATCAAATCCTACCAATGAGTCATTTTGGTTTAGTAAGTGATGGAAGTCGCGCAATTTCTCGTACCGAAGGCCCAGCTTGTAAAGGTGACGGTTGACCCGTCGCAAGTCCACACATAGGTAGTACTTTGTGACTCCATCCTCCCGCCACTTCTCCACAAAGAAGGTGTGGGAGATCTGCAAATTCGGGCCCGGCTCCACTTTGACGATCGCCCCCGATGCGAGGTATTCCTTGTGGATCAAATGCCAGGTTGCTCGCTTCTCCAGCGATCAAAGCGGGTAGGAGCCCTCGTCAAAGGGAGCCGGGGGTCCACGCAATCCCCAAAGGAGGGGGGTCCCGGAATGGATCCATTGGAGGACGCATGATGGAGCACCGATCCGGCGCCATGCGGAAAGGCGGCCGGGGACCCGGTTGTATGGAAAGTCCTTCACGGGGATGGCTTGGGGGATGCGGCCAGAGCTCGTGCGCCCTTGTGGGACTTGGGGCTGTTTGACAGGGCTGAGGTTGACGGGGCGGCGGCCAACTTCTTGGTGGCTGCAGTCTTGGTAGTGTGCTTCAATTCTTGAGTAAGAAGCTCCTTGCGCATGCGCTCAATGGTCCCATCAACACGCGCCGTCTCAAAGTGTAGGCCACGGTCGGCGAGGCAGATCTCTGCCTGAATGGCCCGCCACAAGCCCTTGTGCTTGGCATGGATGCGCTGCAAGTAGAGCTGGTCGTGGAGGGGCTCGGTGACCTCCACGTACGAATACAGGTAGGGGAGAAGGAATTCCCGGATGGACGCCGGGAGATCCGGATGGGCGGCCACCTCCACGAAGGCTGCAGTCGTGTCGAACAGCCAGGAGGCTGGGGGGGCCCAACCCTCATACTCCTGGAAGTAGCCGGAGTTCACGCCCAAGGCATTGGCAACCGCGCTCCCTTCGGCAGTGTCGTGGACGTCGAACCAATACAGGGAGCGGGCTCCCACCAGTCAGGAAACCAACAGGCTTCGATAGCGGAGCTCAGAATATGGTTGTTGAACCGGTGAGCTTGCTCCCGGCGCCATTGCTTAGTAGGGGAGGGGTTCATAGGCAAGAAACTCGGCGAGGAGCCGGAGGTCACAACCCACTCTGTGGGTCCGGGTTGTGCCAAAGCTTTGGCGCAAAGCGAAACAAGATAGAATGGGGACCGAGGGGTGAGCCTAAGTAGCCCCCCCCCCCCCGCTCGCGCCCGCCAAAGCCCGCCGCTCCCAAGGGCGCCAAAATCCACTGGCCCTCCTTGAACGTGGCGAACTGGCCACTGACCAAGGTACGGGGGGACAGAAACCCCGGGGGCCGCCCAAAACAACCATACTTAAGTAGCACTGACCCAATCGGGGCCAGCGTGCCTGCCCCACGTCGCCCTGGGCGGAAACCCCTTAACAAGATAGTTAATCCCATTTCTGCGCCACTGATCTCAGACCCTTCCAGAACACTTATGCAATGATGTGAACTTGGCCAGACAGGCTGGTGCTCACTCCTTTGCCAAGATTGCATTGCGAGCACCCGGGTTTGAGGAATTTCTCGCCCAAAGTCCTAAGCGCCCAGCCACGGGATGTGGTGGCTGCATTGGGCGAGAGGCAGGTGCACCCGACAATTATAAGTTAATGTTGGACCAAACGGGTTGCTAATGACGCCGCACCTCCTTCAAAAGTTTCCCCGTGATTCTGAAGCCCACCCGGCGCATGGGAACGATTCGCTTGATCGCCCCGGGGTAGCGATCGTACCTCAGAGAGTTGACTTGATCACCTGAAGCCACTTGGGGCAGCGTCTGTCTGATGGGACGGGAAGGGCAAGGGATGAAGGCAGGGAGAAAGGGCGAGGGGACCAGGGCCAGAACACGTGCACATTCTGTTTGTGTGAAATCATGTCAACAAGAATAACTGAAGCGCCACGAGGCATCTTGAGTTCAAATGCGCCTCAGACTCACAACCGCAGATGTATACACCGAAACGGAGCCGTCAAACCAAAACGAAAGGCTGCACCCAACCATCGCCGATCAACTGGCAAATCTATCACCATTCTGCAATGCAGGTGCACTGCCAGCCGTGCTCCAGCCGTGCTGCAGGAGTTCTGTTAGTATCCCCTCTGCCGTCAGTCCCTTATGGCTGGGTAGGATGGTGAAGCGCCAGCTGACAATCAGGAATGCAGATCCGAGCCAAAAAATCGTTCGAGCCAGATACAAAGTTCCCCCCTTGGCTGCAAGTGCGCGGCCAAGCACCGCAGCTCAGGAGACATATTTAACAGCGCACCATTTATTTCTTCCCTAAACCATACAGCAGCCCCCTTCTCACGATGATAAAAAAGCATCTGTCACCTCGACCAAGAGCTGTCCGCTGCAGGCCGCGGGCGAGGGACGAAGCTGGCACCAGCGATATCCAGGGGTAGATCTCCCTGTGTGCCTTGTGCATGGCGGCCCATGCACACCAGCCGGACGCCATGTCCCAGAGTCTCCCTTCCGTTCCCCCTCGCTCACTGTGCTGGCCAATTCAGCTGCGCCGCTCTCTCGGGAAGGTGGTCATCACCATAGGCCGCACTTCGCGCAATAGTGACCGCAGCCACCCTCACCACCAAACACGAGTCGTGCACGCGCGTCAACAGATACCGACCCTCTCCTTCACCGCCCTCTCCCCCGCCCCTAAAATCGCAAGTTTGAAGCTGAAATATCTTCAAGGCCCGACGTTTCGGCAAATTATCACCCCTCGTATCCTGTCACATATCCCTTGTCCTGAAGGAACCCGAGCATGGCATCCTGCATCTCCTTGATGGCCTCGAACGGGCTCTTCTCCCCCTTGCCGCACTCCAGCACCCCCCGCCACTTGGCTGGGTCGTCCTCCCACAAACAGTGCGTCGCCCCCTCCAGCACCACCAGCTCCGACTCCGTCCCCTCGGGCAGCTGCGACTGGAAGAACTCCGCGTACTCCCTGGGCTCCACGCCGTCCATGTCCCCGGCTATGAACAGGACGTCCACGCCTGCCAGCCGGCTTGCGCCCTCCGTGGCGAGGTCGCACAGACCGCCGCGCAGTTTGCAGGACGGGGAGACGTGCATGGAGACCTGCACTTGGAGGCTGTTCTCTTCCTTGGCAAGGACGGTGGCCAGCATGCTGAGCGCCCCGCCCATCGAGTGCCCGCCCACCGCCAGCCTGTCCACATCCACCCTGCCCTCTGCGAAGGAGCCGGGCTCAGAGTTCTGCGCCACCATGTGCTGGAGGCCGTACACTATGTCGTCCACCCACGCTCGCAGAAGGGCCTCGTCGAATTTCAGTATCAGCTCCGCGGTTGAGTACTGAGAGATGACGACCACGCCGTGGGAGGCCAACTGGTGGAAGGTCCTGAAGTGGTTCTTGGGCGACACCTCGAAGCCCGGGGAGAACGCCAGGACCGGAAACGGCCCCTTGGAAGAGATGGCCTGCTCGTCGTTGCGCTTTGCGCCCTCCGGGGTGGCCTCAATGGGAGCCTCATCGACAGGGAACACCACCAGCGCCTTGAACGACGTCTCCGTGGACTTGCTGTTTTGGATGATGGACGGCTTGGGCCGCTGCACCTCGACTATGCGGTAGTTTACCTTGAAGGGGCCGGCCGGCGGCGGCTCGTAGAGGTCCATGAACGTGGGCAAGTCCTCAAGGGGCGTGTTTTCGACTTCTTCTTCAGACAGGCCCAGGAACTCGGGGTTGAGCACGCCGTTGATGCTGGAGGCCGCGTAGGGCTGGCATTGGTCCAGGGTGGCCGGGTTGTCGATGAACTGCTCGAGGTCGTCGGGGATGGGGAAGGTGATGCCGCAGAAGCCCGCCAGCGAGGCGAAGCCCTGAGAGGCGTCCCCCTCCAGCAAGCCGCGGGCGACCTGGTTGGGAGGCACGCAGGGCCGAATGGGTAAGGAAGGGGGTAAAAGTAGCGTTGGGCAGTAGTGCTGTCACTTTACTACAACCCAGTACTGTCACCTCCACTGTACCATACTTGGTTTCTTGAACAAGCAACGTTGCGAACAGAAAGGATGATACAAGTGCGCATGCTACGTGCTGGCAACATCAAATCTGTGAAATGGCTGATGCATTTTCTACATTTGGAATTCCTTGTGCAAGGGCAAACGTGGTGCCTGTTCTGGTGCGTTCACGGCGGATTGCCGTCTGTTGCCTTGCAAAATTTTCCTGGTAAGAGAACAATCCAATTGAAAGAGCTCTATCCAAATACGCAAATAATGCAATTGATATACACAGACAATGAATTTGCAATCGAATCAAATAGGCCATAATACAGGTAAGAGAATTCATCATAGACCTCTCCCATAAACTGCGCTTTTAGTGCTTTTCACACCCCAATCATGAATCCCAAAGGAATAGATATTTTTTTGGCGGGCCTCTGGGATGTTAAAAAATCCGCACAGTTCTTTTGATTTAACTATAAAAATTCATCCGCAAAACTAAATGTAGTGCGCATGCAGGACATGTGTGCGCATTGTACAATACCAATTTGCTATCCTTGGCAGCAATGGACCGCACAAACTTCTACCCATGCCTCTCAAACATTCTACAGCGCCGGGATGGTATGCCAGTCCGAAATCTTCAGGCGGGTACGAATCCACTCAGTTAAATCGGAAAGACAAGCGACAGTCAAGTCCAAAAATCAGTTTAAAGTGAATTAAATCAAAAAGAATCAGTTTAAACTGAGCACAAAATTTAGTGCTCATCCTCACCTGGAGTTCGCACAGGCAGTTGCCTTCATCGACGAAAAATCTTCCGGCCCTGCAGCAGGCGTCCAGATCCGCCTTTGCCAAGTTGTCTGGCGCGCATTCCTGCAGCCACAGGCCCACGTCAGCAGTGATTAAGTGACGCAACAACCACGATCTGGGCTCCCAGCAAGGTTACTATACTCCAAAGATGAACAAAGAAAACGTGCCTAGGTTTGTTTCAAGGTTTTCGAAATGAAAATACGCTAATTTGATGATTTGCAACTTTACACATCCCCGAATATTGATACTTTCAATTTGCTTTAAAATTGCAACATATGCCCCACTCCGGCAAGCGCACCTTCACGTAAATCCGAATGAGTTTCGCTGCAAATTTAATGTGAAACTTTACAGTTTACTCGCGACTAAAATACAATTCATAACATCTCCCATTGCGTTGTCAGGCGACTGGAAAATTTCCCCAAAGTTCGCTCTTTTGGCTAGCATCACATTACTGCAAATATACTTGCGCTCCAACGAAAGGTTATCCGCGTTCCCACCTCTGGCCACACTTCGTCGAAATATGCCACGCATTCATCCAAATGCGTCGTCTCCACAACGTTCTTGAAGGGCTTGCCCTTCAGCTGCTTCTTCAAGAGGCTCTTGGCCTTCGAGAAGTCGTATTCATCTGAGAGCGCACGTTCCGTGAGCATCAAAATCGAGCAAGATTGTGAAAAACAGGGGGGAAAAGCCGCTTGATTTTTGGGTACAAAGCTTCATCCGCAGTCGTCTGCAGCCGAATGGCGCCCTTCATATGACGGACTTTCAATCCACAGAAATTTCCACCAGGTGCATACTTGTCAGGGCTATGTATGCCATCCAAATTGCCAACTTCAAGACTGTCCAATAGTTTGCATACAGTTGTGAAAGGCCTTCAGCGAGGGCCGCACATGGCTGCAAGAATTAGCGACAGCTTGCGTCTTGTGAAACATTATCACAAGATACAAAGCTGGCATTCACTCTGTCGGACATGTCGGGGGCGGACGCACATCTTAAAGCTGTAAATTTACAATGTGCGCTCGACGTTGTTCATCAATTAGAGACAGCATATTAGCCGATATGCATTCATATAATTTATTCTAAATGAGTTAACATGGCCTAAAATCGTACAACAAAAGTGCAAACCCTGCGGACTTGTGAAAAGTGGCCAGGGAACTACCGGCTTTTTGCAAAAACATGGGTCAATCTTTGCGAGAACAAGGTGAGCGCGGTGGTGTTCGGGGAGGAGAGAGGGCAGGCCCGTTGCAAATGACATGGATATCGAACACGGTTAAGCTCGCCCCAATATCAGCTTGAATATGGGCACTTGCGTATCGGCGTTCGCCGATGAATGCGTAATCGTCTACTCAGAGGGGTACCTCTGTGTTTGTAAGTTAGTGTAAATACGATGCAGCAACCGCAGGCAGGCAGCCTTCTACGCGCGAACACACTGTTTCAAAACATCGAAGTGCGGCCGTTGCTGACAACGCGACACAAATTTCCAAACACCAATAATGTAGCACGTACCCTTTTGCAAGAGAGTCCTCTGCCCTGCATTGATATCTTGGGTGAATTCTGGCTCGGCCTGCCACATGCATAAATTCTACTGAGATAGCCTTTTGGCGAACGCGTGCACAACTCGTGCAATACTGGACGTCGCTGCTCTCCTCCCATCAATCTGCCAATTGTATCCCGATTAACATGACTGCATGTGCACGTTACATTTGGCCCTCACCACCTCGCGTCCCAGATGTTTGTGAGACTTGGATACAAGGCTTGTCCCTCAGTAGCTTGCGCTCGATCTCACTGTATCGATTGCACAGGGAGAAGAAGACACTGTGTTCCGTGGTCTAACATTGCTCTTGAGACAAAACTCCTTGAAATGGCTCTCTAGGGTATCATCGAGATTTCGAGGGATGTAAGGAGTACTAAACCAAGTCATGGATGGTGTTGTCACTAGTCGTATGGCTTGCTTCCAGATTGCTTGTGATTGACACAATGCCTGTTGCTTACAGATATGTGAGCCTTTGTTAATCTCCTCAACCCCAGCAATGTTTCGATTATCGAGCAGCAAATGGAATAGCGGGATGCCCTGACATCACAGATCATAACTGGCACCAATCGCTCCCAGAATTACATGATTCGTACAAGCTACACTGGAATCCGGTTTAATCTGCTGTTTCACCATATCCACCAAACCATCATCAGTTATGGGCGTTCTTCAAATGGCACGGAAATGCATTTTAGCCAGTTTTTAACCACTTTTTGAGCTACTGTTCCTGCCAACGAACGTCGCTTCTACACCACAGTTCATGGCACATTTACAGAGTTTACATTTGAGTCCAGGTTGCAAGGATACGCATTTGCTTCGATTAATAGAAAGTTTACGACGTCGCAAGGGGACCCATGCCGAGCAGTGAACCCTCATTGTCACAATGTGTCTCAAAAAAGACAGGTTGGCATGAAAATAATTGGCTGCGATTCGCCCCGCGTTTCATCGCCAACTATTCTGCACAGCTCGAATCCTCTGCCATGGATGTTCTCTCGATGAACTTTTTTCTCACTTGGATAGCTTTCAGGGAATGAGTCTTTGCATCCACCCTGCGACTTGTTAACTGTCACAAGAGCTTATGTTTTTCTTTTTCGGTGTTGGACAACACAAGCAAAAATACTCTTTTTGCAATGCCAGCTACCATGATATTTGACACAAACTGGTGACACCACAGCAACTGCGATGGCAACAGAGTAACTATCGTGGCATCAATTGGTGCCAACGGCACAGCAGCTGGCACCGCAGAAACGGCGCTTTCTTCCAGTGCGTTCTGCTTTCTCGACTTCAACCGAAACCTCCAGATGTCTAAATGGAAGCCGGGGAAGGAGCCCGCAGCTGGAAGCAACAAGTCCGCTTGCGGATTGAGTTCCGCACCTGAGTTTGGCACAGGACGAACAGCAGCAGGGCAGCCGCGACCGCCCCACGCCGCACCATCCTGCCTCAAGCGCTACGATTCACCTTTCTTGGCTTCCTGTCCACAAATCCACAAGCCAGTCAACATGACTTCGGGGCGAAACACATGCATGCACAGAAGGGCGCCACTGGTCGGAGGCCTCGATTCCCGCACGGGCGCTGTGTTGGCAAATTCGGGATACCCCCAGCAAGCAACGCTGATGCTGCAGCGACGTCGATGTCGCAACGCGAGACGGTGGCGCGCAGTCCCAATGACGGTGGTGGCCATCTGAGCACCCGCGGCGAAAGAGGAACCACAGCGGCGCTCCGATGTGCTGGCCGCTGGCAACCACACAGACAGGGGATGGCGCAACCGCGCGGCCCTGCGCTCATGGCGCCAAGCCAACCAACGACCCCTGCGGGTCTCGAGGCCGTTCTGGCGATCGAAAGCCCTGGGAGCCTCAAGCGCCGACCAGGTTGCTCAGTAATCTTTCCAGTTCCCCATCCGCCAAGGCCCATCGCGACCAGCCATAACCCTAGGATGCAACGCAGTGGCGACGCCCCTGGGCACCGCCCCACGGTCCCAGCCAGCCAGCCAGCCCACCAATCCCCGTCCCGCCAAAGCCCCGCCCATGCGCCCCGGATCCGCATGAATCGATCAGCACAGCCCATGCGCCCCATCAATAATCGGGGCGACCCATGTGCCGCGGATGCATGCCGGCCCCCCCCCGGACCGCGTCCGGGGCGGCAATGTCCACAGCCGCAATCTGCCGCTGGGGCAAGCGGCGCTCTTCAGCGGAGGCCGTCGCCGCAACGGGCAGTGCGCCCCGATGTCTGAAAACTTGCACCATTCCGCACCGCTCGGGCGCTCAAACCGATGCAAACAGGCGCATTTGGCGACAAACCGCAGACAGACGCGCAGAGGCACGCGCACCCCCGTTACCCCACTCTGTTCCTTTGGACGCCCACCTTGTGGTTTCTTGGCGACCCGGTGTCGGGGGTACGGGGGTTGTGGGGTTGGCCCCTAGTTACCTCCCTCGCGTCCCCGGCGGTGCTCACAGGGGCGGGGAGCGACGTGGCACCGAGCCATTTGGACGCCCCAACCGGCCCCGTCACCACGTAATGGCCATGACGTGGTCCTTCCCGTCCAGTGTGAATGCCCTGGAGTCTCGTCGAAGGCAGATGGTGCAGAGGGGCGGCGCCCGGTGTGTCACATCAGGGTCGCGTCGCAGGTGCGGAGCTGTCACACTTCAAGGGGCTTTCGATGGGGACGAGGTTGGTGGAGCGAGCGCACGTCGAGGCGATGGGGGGCCATCGGCGACGGGGGATCCTTGGGCGGATCCTTGGGAACGGGTGCTCCAGTACTTTGACCGTGTTGGCAGTATTGAAAGCACTGAAAGTACTGACAGTGTTGCAAGCATTGGCAATCTGGACGCATGTGCGACATGCTCACTGAAACCGCAAGAACTTTGATAATCGCTAGTTGGGCTCCCTTGTGCGCCATCTGTGCTCACAGAGTAATTAACAGGGTACGAGCGTAAGCAAGCAACAGCGATTTAAGCAAATTGACTGCAGCATATTGGTTTAATGACTAGCATTTCGCAGGACGCCAGGGCACACATGGCAGTAGACTGGCCTCAAACTCGCCTCTGCCCATGATATCACTGTTTGGGATGCCCGGTTTATTCCATCGGGACTGTCCCAAGCAAAAGTGTTACATTAGGAATTACACCAAGGCCTTGGGCTGAGATCGCCTGACTGGCGTTCGGTGCCAGGGGACCGCGCATGGCAGCCCAGCCATTTCTGCGACAGTGATCACCTAGATCCAAGCAGCAACCGCAAAAGGCTGCCGGAGATGCCTCGAGACCAACAATGAAGATTTGCGGACACAACACATGTGACTGCACAGTCACAACGACGGTACAACCGCAACAGCAGTGCAGTCATTGCTGTTTCTTGGTGACCGAGACTCGAATCCTGCAATCCAGGTTTTCAAACAGACAGGAGTCCAACAAGTCGCATATGACATCATTTGAAGTATTTACAAGTTTTCAAAGGCGGTTATGCCAATCAATACCAAGGTCCTCAGCTTATATTCCATCGCCAATAGCTTCCTCCCTTGCCCATCCAGCAGCAGTCCACTCAACACGTGCATGCCTGGCCACTCGGCAGCACGGCTCCCATTTCCTGTTGACTAACTCCTGGGCAAGCGTGCCACTGTCACAGCACCCTACCAACACTGAATTTATCTATAACCTGCCCGCATTCTTATTTCGTCGTCTCTTCCATCCCTAGGACGAAGAAACCAGCGACCCGAATCCCCATTGCCGCAACACCCAGGCGAAAAAACAAGCCTTGTTTCAATCACCAACGCCCAGCATGTGAGGCGCGCCAAAATATTCTGCATGCACAGGCGGCTTTCATAGCCTTTCAGGCACTAAATCGCTGTTTTGATCAGCAAGGGCCTTTGCAGCTCAAGGATGTCTACAGCAAAACGGACCTAGGCGGATTTGCAAGATCAAGAGGCAGCCTCGAAATGCTCTCTGAAAAAGTCCGCCATGGCGATGGCCATTCGCCGAATGGATTCCTGGGGCGACGCGCTGCCCCTGCCGCACTGCGAGTTTGTGTTTGGCCAATTCTTGGGCTCTGCCTCGAACAGGCAGTGCGTCGCCCCCTCCAGGTACATCAGGTCCGCTTCCGAGTCCTCGGGCATGAGGCCGTAAAACCACTCCGTGCTCCGCGGGGGCGTGATGCGGTCCTCCGACCCGACGATGAAGAGGGCCTTCACGCCGTGCAGTTTGGGAGTGGCCTGCGTTCCCAATCGAAAGGAGGTTATTAAGATCAGCGCTCCGCTTAATCGGAAGATCTTCTGACTAGGTTTGCTGAAATGGCACAAGGTGGACGAGTCGTTAGCTTCGTTCTCGGCCGCATCTGCAGTTGCACCGTCAAGGCGACCAACAGGTGAGCTGAATGCGCGATTTCGAGCTTGGCGCGCTTTCTGAACTGTTGTCCATGGGCATTTCCTACCAGCGCCAGGAGCACGTATGCCTAAATGGTGTCCACGAGGCACATTAGCAGAAAAGGGACCAAATAGCACGTTCTGCGAATACATATGTATGCATTTCATCAGTGTTCCACACTCTAAAAACACGAAATACAAACCCGTAAACTTTGTACACGTTTGAACACGTGTTATTTGGCCCTTTTTTCCCTAGCGACAGTTAGGAAAAGGAACAGAACGCGAAGCCCAAATTAAAGGATATGGCCCCTTCTGACACGGCCGCATTGCAAATGCGCAATTTCAGAAGAATCGGTGCCAGCACCGGTAACAAAACACTTACTAGTATATCGCCATATTTACAGGCAAGATCCAGTTCAACACTGTCCATCGAGATTCTGAAAATGTGGGCACTGCAACATCGTGGTGCGCACCTCCGACGGCATTTCGCAGCTGTTGCCCATGATGAGGCAGGCCGCCGACACTGGCACCACGGCGCTGACGTTCATGCCGCGCTCCTCCCTTGCCAGCGCCGCCGCGGACAGCGCCATGCCCGCCCCGAAGGAGTGGCCAGCGAAGCCGATGCGCGAGGGGTCCACGCCGCCCGACAGGAAGGACTCGGGGTCGCCGCCCTTTCGGCTGAGGAACTGCACCATGTGCAGCATGTCCTCTCTCCACGCCTCCATCTTCTTCCTGCGAAGATCCAATAGTGTCGGTCACTTGGGAAATTGCAGATATTATTTTAGGCAGGGATCCATGGCGATCGATCATGGCGACCGTTTGACTTGGTGCCCATGATGACCATTTTTTATAGATTCGCTAGAACAACGAAATCTAGAACTAGTTGCTGCTGGTACTCCTCCCCTGCTCTCTGACACCAAACGGCTGAAAGCTGCTGCAGCGGTCGCAAAATGGCACAAGCTTGGCCATTTCCACAATCTCATTTGCAACGCTTTCAGTGCTTCTAATTTCCATTGTTGTAATTTTAACACTAACTCAACTGAACAGAAATAATCATGCGTTGCTCGCCTGTTTATATCCACCCGCAGATGGGACGTTGAGTACTGCGAAATGACCACCACCCCCTGCGACGCCAAGTGGTCCAGCGTCCTCCTGAAGTGCCCAGGCACTCCCTGGTATCCGGGCGAGAAAACCACCAACGGAAACGGGCCCCCCGCCGCCACCCGCCGCCTTCCCACCACCTTCTTGGACCCCGGCCCCCCGGGCAGCGGGTCCACGGGGTAGTACACATCCGCCCCAAAATGCGTCGCGGAAGACTTCATGTTCTTGAGTACGGACGGCGTGTCCCTCTCCACCACGACCTTGGCCACGGCCGTCCGAAACGGCCCCGGCGGCGGCGGCTCAAAAATGTCATCAAAAGATGGAATTTTACTCGCATCAATGCCCTGCTGCTGGGCCAGAAGATTATCGGATTCGTTGGACCCTTTCCGGACGAAAAAAGTCGAATTCCAACTCCCCTTTGTGCTGGCGGCCACGTAGGGCTTGCAGACGTCCAGCTCGAGGGTTTTCTGCACGTTCCAAGGGAGCGGGAAGTCGTACTTGCACAGCCTGGTTATTTGAACCGCCAGCGACCTGCCGCTCCCGCGCATGTCTCCTATGACCCGTGGCTCGCAGAGGCACTTGCCGTCGTCAATGAAGGTGCGGACGGCCTCGCAGCAGCGGTGCCAGTGGAAGCCCGGGCCAACGTAGCAGACGGGCTGCATGGTGGTGGTGAAGTAGTGCGCGCACTGGTCCCCCAGGACCACAGTCATGGCGGAGCCGTAGGGCTTGCTGTCCACGAAGCGGAACAGGTTCTCGTTGCTCCTCGCGAATGAGAGCTCACCTGCAGCAGGAGGGGTCCTTGCCTGGTGAGTTCCGCATGAAAGAATGCCCGCGCAATGATGTTG